CGCGCTATGTCGTGAATTGGCAGAAGTTAGAATTCATGGGCTGGCCTTCGGATCGCGTCCCAGTGGCATAATGGTCTACGAACTCGCTTGTCTTGTAACCAGAAGGTCCCGGGTTCGAACCTTGGTGAGGGGGTACTGATGAAGAGTCCCAAACTAGGACGGAGGAGACAGCTGTCCAGTACTCCCAGCTGGTTTTCCAGTGGTTCTCTTACTGATGTCACCTCATGATGAAATCCTCCATGCAATCAAACAAAAAGGAGTTGGGGAAGGAAAATGTTTTTTGAAGAGTTAGCCTGTTTGAATTTAACTTGTTTCAAGTCTAATCGCCGATTGATATCAGTTAGAGAATTGCTGAAAACCAGCAACTGAACTAGTACTGGACAATTGTGCTGTCCTAGTTTTAGGGCCTTATCGGCTGTATACACCTATCATACAGGTTTGAACCCATAAAAATTCTGTTACAAGACAAGTTCGTAGACCATTCAGCCGCGCTCAATGACCAGTCCATGAATTCTAACTTTTACCAATTCATGATTTTTAACGCTATTAGCATTAGCCATTGTCGTTGGCGAGTATTTATGCGCGTATATGTAATTCAATTTTAACATTTGAACAATGATCATGTGATTGGTTATTCACATGGTATACTGTCTTTAACACACTTAACTACTACTAATACTACGATATACGGAAATACACACATATTCTGAACAATTGCATAGTCGATATTGATTGAAGGTGATATGAAAATCTACTCTGCTGTTACAGGATTCAAATCACGGGAACATGATATATGAAAACTTGACTGAGATTCACATTACAATGACAAATGGTAAATGGCCCAACACATTTATTCTTCAAGCATTGGTTTTGTAGGGATTTTGTTTGATTGCATGGAGGATTTAATCATGAGCTGACATCAGTTAGAGAACCACTGGAAAACCTGGGAGTACTGGACAGCTGTTTCGTCCTAGTTTGGGACTCTTCATCAGTACGCACCCACCGGGATTCGAAGCCAGGACCTTCTGGTTACAAGGCGAGCTCGTAGACCATTGAGCCACTGGGACCCGATCCAATGGTCCTTGAATTCTAACTTCTGCCAATTCACGACATAGCGCGACCACTTCGAAATGTCTTCTTCGATGAGTTACTGCCTCATCTTCAACCTGCTGTACCCTACTGGTCACGGTTTCCCACTAGAACCCCAGGTTAACTGCCTGAATAGGGCCAGTCACTAGTGAGCATCAGATTAATTTTCAAGCATTGGTTTTGTAGGGATTTTCTTTGATTGCATGGAGGATTTAATCATGAGGTGACATCAGTTAGAGAACCACTGGAAAACCTGAGAGTACTGGACAGCTGTTTCGTCCTAGTTTGGGACTCTTCAGCAGTACGCACCCACCGGGATTCTTATTATTATTCTTATTATTATTCTTATTATTTCCTTTAATTCCTAGAGGAACACAGAGCTTCAGCCGAACGTCTCCATTACGTTCAGTTCTCTGCTAACGTTTTCACCTGGCTCCAAGTCTGCCCATATGTTTTCATCTCCTCTTCACATGACCACCTCCATATCACCCTTGTGCTGTTAACCAACTCGCCGCTTCCGTTTAGGGTTCCAATCGATCAATAGCTTGTCTAGTGATGTCACTTGACGGTTTCCTCAGCATATGGCCAATCCATCTCCATTTCTTCCTTCATATTCGTTGCCCAATTGGTTCCTGATGGGTTGGTTTGTTCAGTGCCAGAGATCCCTGTTGTTGATCTTTTCCGGTCGGTCATCTGGTCTTGAGTATTGGATGAAGGCAGCTGTTGATGAAGGTCTGTAGTTTGTTTGAGGTTCTCTTTATGACACACGAAGTCTCTGATCCGTATAGTAGTACTGACTGAATACATTTAATCATATTCAAAATGATCTTTGATGTATAAATATGGAATTTAAGCAGCACTGTGGTGGATAGTAAATTTATTTAATGAAGCCTCACAGTGTTATACAGCAATAATTACAGGTGATGTTTCGGGTACAATATACTGCTCACAGACTCAAGTTCACTTAGTGTCTAGGTGGTACTTTAGTGTCTATTTCGATTATTTTTCTTCAGGAAAATCCGATTCATTCTCCTGAAGAAACATTCACGAGAATTCTTGTTTCACATTTCTAAAGATGCTAAAAATACTTTATCATTGTTATGATTGTTCCCTCGGGTTCCGAGGGGAACATAAGACTACTGTAACCAGACATATCCACTTTGTTCTATATTCCGCTGTCCTCTTTAGCTGGCTAATTCCACGACTGACAGTAGTATCTCGTCTTCTCCTCCTCCTCACACGACCTCCCCCACGTCACCCTCGGACCCCTCATCCAATTTATTGTTTACCATTCGAGTTCCATTCAAGTGATGCCCTGGCACGTGACATCACTCGACAGCCTTCTCGGCGTGTGCCCAATCCATCTTCATTTCCTCTTACATACTTGTTGAGCAACTGGTTTTTGGTTGGTTTGTTCCCCTTTGAAGAGTTTCTTGTTACTATCTCTTCTTGGCCATTTCATCTTCAATATGGAGCCAGAGTAGTCGGCTGTTGATAAACGTCTGCAGTAGACTGTCGGAAATGCTTTCCTTGACGTGACATCCAAGTTTCTGACTTATATAGAAGAAGTGACTGACTTCAAATCTGTGTTGAAAACCCTAATCTTGTTCTATATGCTGTGGAGTCCAGAAGATTTGCTCTGCTCTGGATTCACACAATTATTCCCCTGAATGAATTTGAATAAAGCAAGAACAACAGTTTTTGCAGAATAAAATGGTACCATCATCGCTTATTTCGTTGGCTTCTCATCAGCTGTTTACAAGCCAAAGTCATCATTAAATGCACCTACAGAAACAATTTTAACATACTTGCACAGAGTTTATTTTTAAAATTGCTTCTGTAAATGTATTTTAATAATGACTTTGGCCTGTATGCAGTTGATGAGAAGCCAACGAAATAAGCGATGATGGTACCATTTTATTCTGCAAAAACTGTTGTTCTTGCTGTATTCAAATTCATTCAGAGGAAGAATTGTATGAATCCAGAGTGTTGACATGTATTTTGCCTTTCCGATTACGGCTTTGATATCTCCATCCATGGTATCTGTCTGTGGTTAGAACTATGTTTCCTAGATAAGGATATGCGTCGGTGGCATAGTGGTTAGGACTCTCGCCGACCATGCACATGGTCCGGGGTTCGAGCCCACGCCGGCGCGCACCTGATATCTATGGTCGGCAAAATTTGGGCTACTGATATCCATGATGAAAATTCCATACTTGTACCAAAAATACAGTGTGGAATCAAGCTGTAAATCAAAAAAATAAATAAATAAATAAAATAAATAAGTGAAGGAAGTAACCTCTTTTAAATCTCTCCCGTTGATGCTTATTGGTGCTTCTTGTTGTCACTGTTGCTGTTTGGTTAGTGATATTCACCTCCGCGCCGCACCTTCTCTATGTTCGCCTTCAATCCTATCTTATCTGCCTTCATATACAGCCGGTTTGTTGGTTTTCGCACGTGAGTCTTCGAGTTTATGTGATATTAGACGTAAATCATCCACGCGCGAAATCCAGATCTTCTAGATTCTTTTTAACAGTCCGGTGTGTTCTTGTCTTTTCGCTTCCAAAGCACAGTCTGACGCATAATGCAGTCCACCTGAATTAGTGATATCACCGGTGATAGAAGTCACCCGTCCAGTCATACTCCTGTCTTCGCTTCAAAAGCTTCTCTGAGTTTTCGGTTGTGGATCAGCTGACGCGTGGCATTGCCGGATAGCCAGCTGTTGAATGAGGTTGACAAAGATTTAGATCATTGCACGCCATCCTTTTAAAGTAGTTTCTAGCAATTTTATCGATTAACTGAATGAGAGAAGTACCTGTGGGTTATATGAAATGCTCTCAGCCAATCGGTATTCGAAACTGTTTCCTTCAAGTTTTACACACTTACCAATATTCCTCTAAACAACCATAATTGTTGACCATTTCGTGGGGATATCCTACTGTGAAATATATTTTAGAAAACAGAAAGATTGAGCGAAGAAATATTTACTTTTCAATTAGACCCTCCTATCTGGCTTTACTCTAATATATATCAATAGCATTTTTATTACAAATCACAACAGTTTACAAATCAAGTGGCGATAAGTTTGTTAACAATAATTAGTCAGTGTCAAAATATCCATGGGTTAATAATAATTAACGAAGAAAATTAATACACACATTTAAAAGGTAGAAATGGTTAGAATAAATTAGTTTTACAAGGATAACAGATAAATTAAAGATGAAGTGGTCAAAATAAATAAAAATAAAATAATTTGGACAATTATAATTTTTATAGGTTTAGGGGAAGAGGGGCGACGTAGTCCTGTTTATGCATTCTTGTGAAGATGGCCACGGTAAGGGAAGTGGCTGCACGAATTTCTTCTGACAACAAACAAGTTTGGCTTCTTCAGGTGAATTCCTATTGCTTCAGCTGTTGTCTGTAGAAGACGAACTCGCAGAGCAAAATTAAGATTAGTCGGAATGCGATAAATAATTTTAAATGCAGTATTAATCATATCAATCTTATGCTCAGTATCAACGAGGTGGGCTTAAATAGAGCTAGCTGGGAATAGATCTTGTTTGTCCCTTGCTTAACCACGTTGGATGATGTTCGGAAATAAGACGATGAACTTGCCTAATTATTGTACGCCCAATGAGTTTTATTCATCATTTAAGCGACTTGTGAGTAAGTTGGTGAACTTCACGATGCAATGATAAAGGTTCGTAACTATGTTAGAAACATGAATTACCATACCTGAAGGTCATAGCCAGCAGATTGCTATTGATTAACTGTGTACGTAGTAACTAATTATTATTATTATAACTAAATGCTAATTTTAACGCTTTGTTTTACTTTTTTAGATAATCAATAACAACGTTACATAACAATTTAAAAAATAAAAGCGCAAATAATCACATTATTCTCCTTAAATGATGACATCCAATACAACAATCCCTGGATTAGCATTTTATGATTCGCTTGTGAATAATGATATAACCGAGTCAAAACGGTTGGTGGAAATACACAAAATTGACTTGAATGCACGATTAAGTCATGTAAGTTGGTTGTTATGTCATCATTGTTTATGCAACTGATTTTAACTTTTTTCTGATGAGGTAATGGGTAGGGGTTGTCTTCGTTTTCCACTGGTATATATATTTATTTTTACAAGTTGATCACGTATTGATATCAGTTAGAGAACCATTGAAAACCAGTACTGTAGTTTTGAACAGCTGTTTCATCCTAGTTTAGGAATCATCGGAAGTACGCACCCACTGCCAGGGTTCGAACCCGGGACCCTCCAGTTTCAAGACAGTGTCGTATACCATTCAGCCAGTGGGGCCCGATTCAATCTCCACAGTGATTGCCAGGAGATATAATCATATCACTCACACAGAGATATCAAACAAGTTTGCTCTATATTGAAGCTCTCGTTGAAGATGTTGTCTAAAAGGACGACGAAAGCTTCTGATCACGGAATATACACATTGGGTCAAAGGAAGTTATTAAGAAGACAATTACAGAGAAGAAAATTTTCTTTTCGATGAATTCATCAACTAGATAGCTGTACATTCGTGTATTTATATCAAATGGATAGGAAAGTTCCAGAATAATATCCGGTCAAGGATCAAATTAGTAAAAATTAAAATTAGGAATTAGAATGCCATAATAAACACGGAGATGGATAAAACAAACAAAGTAGCATCATGATAGCTAAGAAGATTAACATTGTGCGATCGGGGGTTAGAAATATAAAAATAACAAAATAGACAGGGTATTTGGATAAAAAAACTAATGTGATGAATAATTGTTTATGCAATCAGGGATTAAATATGTAGAAGTAGTAAAATGACAAAATAAACAAGAAGTTGAGGTATAAAAATATGGTAGTGTAAACATGGATTAAGTAAAACTTAAAAATAACATGAATTAACTGGAAGTTTAGGTAAGAAAGGCAATGGGATGGTCATTACTAAATGCATTACCTGTTCATGATGACCATGGCAGGGACAGGGGTTGGACGTATTTCTTTTGGATACGAAGCGTGGGTTTGAGCTTTTGGATAGCTAGTGCCTCGGCTATGCCCATATATTTTCATATCCTAACTTCCTGTTTATTTTGTCATTTTACTATTTCTACATATTTAATCCCTGATTGCATAAACAATTATTCGCCACATTAGTTTTTTTTATCCAAACATCCTGTCTATTTTTGTTTTTTCTACATTTCTAACCCCCGATCACACAATGTTAATCTTCTTAGTTATTATGATGCTACTTTGTTTGAATTTTATCCGTCCTCCCACTGTTTATCATGGCATTCTAATTCCTGATTGTAATTTTTATAAATTTGGCCCTTAACCGGAAATTGTTCTGGAACTTTCCCATCCATTTGATATAAATACACAAATGAATGTACAGCCTAAATGATGACTTCGTCGAAAAGAAAATTTTCTTCGCTGCAATTGTCTTCTTAATAACTCCTATGACCCAATGTGTATATTCCGGTAATGAAAATTAAGTTAGCCTAGGGATTTAAGGAGGTTGGCAAATAAAAAACGATGTGAAATTTCTCTTTGGTTTTCTGGTGAATCAAAAACAATTCATATCACAAAGTATTATCTGTTTTAAACAAAATGTAGATAGTAGTGATGTCCAAATTGTGAATAGAAAATCGATACAGTCTATGTAATCGACTATTATGAGCAGTTAGAAATCAGGTACACCAACTACTACCGTTGATCTTTTTCCAGGCTGAGGTGATCTAAACACTTCACTGTTCGCTGTTTGTTTAGGTCAAAGCTGATGTCTGGCGAGTTCTATTGCCTGATTTCAGTTGCGCATAACCACAATAGTTGTATGTTTCTTCATGACAACAAACTTGATCTCTTTTTTCTTACCAAGCACATTACATAATATTAGTTCCTTTGAGAAATCTAGATGAGCTTGTACACAAGATTCTGTGTGTAATGAATACCAAATATGACCCATTTTCTTACAAGCCATTTAACTAGTAAGCTAAGTTTTAGATGGGTAATAGTCTTCTACTATCTGACCTTGATCTAGCCAGATATACTGCCTATGGGTCTTAATCTGAACAGTTGATTTAGTCACTCAGTAGTCAGTGGTAGCCTTTATCTAACTGATGGTTGATTCTATCGGACCACTTATACTATGAAACATAATTTGTCGAAGTACGTGCGTAAGTGGTTCAGCGGCAGAGTTCTGGCGGACCATGCACACTGTCCGGGGTTCGAGTCCCTGTTGGCGCATACTTTTACCTCCCTTAGACGGTTAGAATACAAAAAAGAGGAAGGGGCGTGAAAGTAGCGACTCAACCCCGTAAAAACAACACCAATGCAACTGAAACTTCAACGCTAAAGCTTGAAGCTATCTGTGCTCTACTGGGTACATAAAAGAATAAAAAGAACGATTTGTCGAAGTAATTTTAGTGGATTGTGACTAGTAGTGGAATCTAGTGGATGCGTATTTCGTCCTATTTCGGACAATCATCTCGATTCAATCAATCAACAGAAAAATTAAAAGTGAATTTGAAAAGCAACAGTAGCAAATGCCTGTTGTAGAAGAGGTTTCTCTCAAAGCCCAGGTGGTCTTTTGGACAACGCCTTGGTGTTTGAAATGATGGTCACAGAGTTCGAGTCCCATTTGGAACGCCACCATCATTTATTTGGGAATGTAGGTACACCCACTAGCTGACAAGTCACAAGTAGGATGCAATGTGCATCTTGGATTCTGCTGTTGGTCATCATCCATAGTAATTACTTCAAGTTAATCCTTAGATGTCATCAAAGCTTCTGTAATGGGAACCAATATGTCGACAAAAGCCCGAATTTCGATCGGATCAATCAGCAGGAATATCAAAATTGAATTTGAATAAGTGCTGACATGAAGATGAAAAAGGCTGACAGCTACTCGGGAATACAAAGACTATCAGTTAGCAAATTTTATTAATTCATCGAAAGACACTGGTCTAAACAGCATACACAGTGCAACTTTTATAAATGATTGGTAGATGCAGCTAGCCAAATAGTCCCAGTCTTTTTCAGTTGTTATGCTCAACAACTCTGTCACTAAATTTGTCTAAATTCTCTTACTTACCTACTTGTTCAATACCTGCTGCTCTACTATGTTCGACTTAGGTTTCTATCCAAACCTCTTCCTTCACAACTTCTTTTGCATTTGATCGCTTGATTTTCTTTTCTTTCGGCATAGTTTTGTTTTATTATTATATGTGTAAAGCTTGGGCATTGTGATAGTAAGTAATTCCATAATAGTTTGTTTATTAGATGCATCACACAATCACAGTTTTGAAGATAATCTATTATTGTTCATAATCATGTCAATTAGAATCACACGACTTTGAAACTTGAGTTTCATCGTTTTCTTTGTCCTCTCCTATTTGTCATCGCAGGGGTAGTAGAATTTTCCAGATATCCGAATGGACAGGTGTTGAATCATTCCTATGACATGTATTTCCTGTCAGTTTATTCGACAAACAAAGCTTCTACTATCAATCTCTCCGTATACCCTGTGACATTAGATTTTAAAACTGTCATCTTATCCCATCCTATATTCTGTGGTTGTGTGTAACTGCATGTAGGGCTATAGCTGAACTATTCTCTAGATTCAACTAAGCTAAATTTTGCTAGGTGTTTATGTTCGGCTAGTGTAACAGGAATGATTCAACACTTGTCTCAGATATCTGGAAAATTCTACTAACCCTATGACAAATACGAGAGGACAAAGAAAACTATAAAACTCAGGTTTCGAAGTTGTGTGATTATAATTGGTATGATTATGAACAACAAATTTTGTTCGAAATTGTGTCATCCAGTGAATAATACTGTTTCACTGTGTGATACATCTAATAAACAAACTAATATGGAATAATTTTGTTTTGTGATAACTCTTAAGGTACATTTTCGCTATCTTTATAACTTGATTGAACATTGAATGCATAGCTAACATGTTTTGTTTGAATGCTTTAAATCCTTATTGTACGCCATAATAGAATAACGTAACTGGATGACCTTCAAATCTCCTTTTGTAGTAATACTCACTTGACCTAACTAAGGTTATTTGATTATCTGAATTTTGATTGGTTGAACAAGCGATAGTCGACTAGCTAGGTAGTTAGTTAATCGATTTTTCATTTCAGTCCTAAACATTTCCATAGTAATAATAATAATAATAGTAATAATAATAAGTAAGATTGATTTTAGGATAGAAAATATCACCTCTATCAACCTGAATATTATTATTAAATTATTTTTTTTAATCTCCCACTAAATTACAGAGTGAAAATGTGTGTGAATATAGGGAAAAAAGACGAGTGTTTGAAAACATACAGAAAGCAAACTAGAAAAAAGAAATCGTAGGACTAATGATATTTGTATAGTGTTCCGCCCTCCCTACCAAAAAGAAAAACATTGTTTATATTAAAGCGAATAAAATATTGGAAAAAGCCAAAGGAATGTGAGTAGGCGCAGCTTCAACTACTCCCTAGAAAATCTTGTTTTTGTCAATGCCTAGAGAAGGTGTCGATGTAGTGATATCACTTGATGTTATGCCGTGATACATTTAGTTTAAACTGAGAATTTTCTCATGAGATTAGTCTACCATTCCAATCTTAATTCACTTGCTAGACTTACTAGATAGATTCTGAAACGAGGGCTTTTAGTTTAAAAATTACTCTGAAGACCTTGGTGTGTATAAGAATAGTTCAGTAGATGTCAAACCATGCTCTGATAAAATTTTCAAGGATTTATAAGAGTTTATCAGTCCAGTTTATGATGTAGTTACTGATTAATGTTGATGGAGTTGGCCATCAGTGGTGCCTTATGCCTTCATGCAGTCAGGTGAGGGCTTACGGCGAGTTGTCATCTGAAGTGGTAACAACTAGTGGTAACCGTGAGGGAAGCCCACTATCCCCATTTCTATTCAATTTCATCATAGGTGTACTAATGGATTTAACGCTAACTCAATTCAGAGACTCAGGGATTGACTTGCTACCAGGGAATAATCTCGTTGACTTA